AATGACAAAGTAAATAGAATAATATAAGACTAAAATCTAGCTAAATAAATAAAATAATACAAAATACTAACTATACAATATGAAATAATCAGCAAAACTTTCACCCCCTGTGAAGTATCAAAAGAAACAAGTAATGTCGGTTCGCTAGGTTCAGTTACACTTGGTTTATTAGTCCCCTTTGTTTCTCATTTTACTTTTCTTTTTTAATCTATTATAGTTGTGTTGGATTGTCTCACCTTTAGTTTTTTCAGCTCTGCCCTAAAATAAAAAGAAACCTGCCTCTCCCTTCACTGGTGCCCTGGGTTTTAAGTCCCACCTTTTCACCCCCCACAGAGTTGACTTCATACTTAATAATACTAACTTTGGCAGCGGAATAGGTAAACATATCCTTTAATGATTCTGATATGATAACACTCTGAGTCATATCACTGAGTCATATCAAAACAACATTACCCCGGCAGACTGGTGTTTTTCCTCTCCAGGTGTGGTTATCACATTGGGAGGGAAGGTGTAGCAGTTTGTGTCATTAGCAATCCTGCAGTGCATGGCAATTTGGGCGCCCCAAAAAACTCAGAATTGCATTTTCTGCCAGCAGCTTGCTCAGACCCGGTCCAATGCCCTTAGCCAGGGAAAAAGTCACAAATTGGGCATTTTCTTTTTGTGATTTACTCTGAATGCAAAGTGCCAAATTAGAATTTTAATTGGAGTGCCAATGATGTGATTCTTACCACAATCAATCATCCTGAACTTCTTGTTCTGAGGATCATATTAAACCTTTCCGTTCAATCTGATACAAACAGAAAATGGGGCAAAAATGCATTTTACTTCTGTTTTCATTGTTGTGTTATTTGACTCATTTTCATTATTTAGATGAGAATGTAAGTCTATATACAAAAAAAAAAAGTCTTCATGAGAAATATTGCTAAAGAGAAAGCCATTGTTCCAAATGGTCTGCAAACCATGACCCAATGTAATCTTGCCATACAGTCTAAAAAGCAGGGGGTTCACACACAGCGGTTGTGGTGTGGGAAAACATTTCCAGTATATTACAACTTTGAATCCACTCCAAAAAATCTTAATCAGGACAATGGCAGCAGAGTAAAGATAACTAGAGGCTCCATCAGGTAAAGGAAACTCAGGTAAAAAAGACAGCGACTAGGTCTAGGTTCAGCAGCTGCCCCCTTAAGCAGTCTGCCAACCGGTTAGACAATGAAGCAAGTTGAGGACTGGACAAAACAAACCTTTTAGCTGGACATTAGGAACTGAAGGTTGGGCTTTTTAGGTTTATTGAAAGCTAAAAGGCTGTTAGTTTTGATAAATACTGAAGTTCCCCAATAGAGATCCTTTTCTTTTAAAACAAGTCCCATTGCAAAGAGGCTTCAGAAAAAAAATCTAGACACAGGGGGCTCTATTTTCGTGCCTTTCCAGAGATGTGGCGCAGGCGCGGCGTAAGTCAGGTCTGCCGTGCCGACAAGGTGTTCCCAAGCACAATTTGGTATTTTGGTGATCAGGTTTGAATTAGCGAGCTTTCAGCGCACTTTTCAAGCCACCGGCGAGCACGAAAATGTCACTGCGCCAGCCGATTCTGTCGGTGTTGTGTGTTGTGCAAAGCCAGTAAAAACATTCAGCAGATTTTAACATTAATGGTCACATCAATTAATTTCAAACAAACAAACAAACAAAAAAATTCTTTACTACTCATCTGCTTTGATTGATGGATTTCAGGCCTTAAGTCCAAAGCGGGTGAAGCAGCTTTGAGTGAAGAGTGGGCGCTCAAAGCTGGCTGCTTACTATCATTTCTATCTAAATTAGCCTTTCTTTTAATCTTTCAAATAATTTGAATTGATGTAGCTCGATTGAAGTTTTGTATTTCCAGCAGAGCTCTAGAAAGCCTTTTTGATGGAATTCTTGCCACCTTCTGATTTAGTGTCTTCAGCATTTCCAGTAAACTGATGTATGTGTGGCTGTCCATGTAAAGAACCAGATCTCATGTTGTTTTTTCCCCCACGGACGAATATGCCTAGCTAAAGTGTTTGTTTGTTTTTTCCTTTAGATTATGCACTTGATTATTATAATTGTTATTTATCAATTATTCTTTGGATTACAGAATATGATCAACATATTACACAAATAATACATGTTCCATTAACAGTATTATTTACATTTTAAGATCAATATTGGAAAAAATATTTATTCTTGAATTTGTAACAAGATAACATATGGTTACCATTCGACATGCGGTACAAAAAAAGTTATAATGTGGGGCAACTTTAGCCTTTAGGAATCACAGTAATTCTTAAAATTTTGCGTGAAAAACTGCATTATTTTTCAACCATGTCTCCTGAATCATAAAAACTCACCTTAATGTGTGTCAGAACAAACTGTTTTGGAAACTGATTCATAATTTTTCAGGTTTTGGATATTTTTCTCGTGGAGAAACCTTAAGTTGTCTTCTTTACATGGAGGCTTGGTTACCTTTATCCAATATGGTGGCTCGCTGACATGCTTATTTTAGTAGCAGCTACCATGGTGCTATCTACAAAGTATGTGTTTACATCTATGGTCACGAGTATCAGCAGGATTACTGGATTTATAAAGCTCCAGCCTCTTCTCAAAATTTGGACACATCTGGCTCAAGAGAAATAGACAGCTACAAGACATAATGACTGACTTAAGTATTCATTTGGCTCCATTCCCTCTTTGCTCTACTTTGTTGATTCTTTTCTGCTGTGTATATTGCAGATTATCTTATCCTATCTCATTTCATACAGTCAAACGATAAAACAGATTGATGTATTTAAAGGATTGCAATTTTTTTGTGTTAACAAGTGAAAAACAGAAGAGTGATGGATTCAAGTAGCTGCAGCTGCACACTTTTTATTTCTTTTAGCTCTAATAGAAGGAGTGCTGGAAGCAATGATGGTTCTTTAACATCACCTGACAATTGTTGCACTCCAGTCTGTTATCAAAAATACTAGTGGGTTACATGATGCAGGAGTACAAAATTCAAAGAATCCATCAAAACAGCAAAGGCTGAAGAGCTTCACAAAGTGAGCAGTGTTATTCTGAAGTTAATGTTTTTGAAAGTTCTCAAATATATGGACCTGTTTAACTGATGCTGATGAATAAAATTTTAATACAGCTAAAATGAAAAGGACAAATGATGGCTGAGCTTTTCTCTAATCTTTTATGGGCAGACTGTGAATTGCTGCTGTTATGTTTGATAAGTATAGCTTCCGACAAAATGGATTGCAGCTACACTGTGCTTGACCAGCTTTCGCAGCTACATAATGATACCCATTTTAAAACAATAAGCAGTGCCAGGCGTGTATCAACTTGGCAGACATGCAAGTTGTGGGCTGATACAACATCAAACAAAGATAAGTAACATGCAGGCAAAGCGAGACAGGCTCTGGGCCAGACAGTGTTAACTTTTCTGTCAATAAAATGAGGCTGAGGGGGTCAAAACATCAGTGGGCAAGGAGGTGGTGATGGGCAGAGACATTAAAAAGGGTGTCAGACTGTACAAGAGGATCCAGGATGGTGTGCAATCAAGAGGAATAAAGGAATTTATAAGTAACTAGTCTGGGTAAACAAAGGGTCTAATTTTTCTATAATGTTTATTTATTTATTTATTTGTTTCTTTGTATTCTTTGAAACATTTAATTTGTTAACCGAAATAATTTAAGCCTTTATCTAAATTCGGGGAATTCTGGCTGTGGGAGTTATGAGGCTGATCGCTCAAGTTCTTATTGCAGCCCAGACTCATTTGGGTATTCTTTGTTTCTTTTATTCCTTTTTCTGTGTAAAGCACTTTGTTCTACATGGTTGTGTATGAAAAGTGCTATATAAATAGAGACTGATAATGATGATATGTTACATGTATAGTCAGTGAGTGTGACCCTTTATGATGTTATTAGCCATGTCTACAACTTTTGTAAAATTCATCTCCTCCTGCACATTTAATCAGGAAAGATGTGCTTTTCTGGGCTTATGCACCTTGGCCATGCCAAACTCAGGAATGAGTTTCTTGCTCTCATAAAACAACCTCTGTGTATTTGTGAAGCTTGTTAAACGTTTCAGTCAAGAACCAGAAAACTTTCACTTTCAACCTGAAGTGTCAACCTTACTTTTAAGAGATGGTTTTAGAAAGAAAGAAGATGAAAATATAAACCAAACTGTAGCATATAATACCAATACCTTGAAAACTCCCCTGTTCAACATACAAGCATAGACATCACTTTTTTTTTTTTTTATGACATGACCAAGTCCATCACCAAGACAGGCTTTTGTCACATCAGTTTATTATTTATGCAATAAGTAAATAGCATTTCACAAAAATGACAGTTTAACCTTTCAGTAACAGAGTGGAATATCCACCACATAAAATGCAAATAACAAACAAAAACTTTTTCAAATACTTGGTGAGGATCTCTTCCTGATCCCAAAATCACATTTGACAAAAATAAAAATGTTCAACTTCGAATAACAGAGTAGCATTTTCACCATATATAACATGAAATGCAAAAAACAAATAAAACCATTTTCAAAAAGTTGGTAAGGATCTTTTCCTGATCTTGAAAACACTTTACAAAAATGACAGTTTCAATTTTCAATAACAGAGTGGAATTTCCACCACACAAAACACATGAAATGCAAAAAAAAAGTGGGCCCCTTCTTCTCACTTCAGGAGCTTGTGCTTCAGTTGGAGGCCCATTGTTAACTGGCCTTTGTTTGTCAGCCTCCTCCAGGTTTCCTCTACTAAAATAATGGCTGAGGGGACTAGTTCTTGAGGAGTTCCCTCAGTGTTGGGTCTGTCATCCTCCACAAGGTCAATACTGAGGACCTCATCTGAACTCTCAGATGTAACCAGACTCATTTTTTCGAACGCGTCCTCCACACTAAAGTGAAACATGAAAATTAGTTTGTTTAAACCATTTGTCATTAAGGCAAAGATCTCTGTGACCAGAGGACCTTCACTTACTACATGCTGGAGTCCGCCTCCTCCTCCAGATGGATCATAGTAATAAACGGGTGTTTGAGGGCTTCTACTGGTGTCAGTCTCTTATCGGGGTCAGTGCCAATTTGCCTTGAAAAATTTGTCGGTGTAAATCCCAGCATTGAGCACATGCTCATCAGGCTGACCGAGAACATCCACTATGTTCATCATCTAGGACCAAACACAAAGAAGCACTCTACATCAGGTCTCTGATTGAGTTTGGACTTTTTTTGGAGTAATATTTCTCTGCCTGAGTGATCAAATAACAATGAAAGGAGTTACTTACCTTCTGGTACTCATAACCTGTCCCAAATAGATAGCAGGTAAGGAACAGCTCTGCCAGTACACATCCAACACCACACATACCAATGGCCTCTGTAAAGGGGAGGCCCAAGATCACCTCCGCGGCCCTGTTTGGAAATGACAGGTTCATCACATACATGTGAGATAATAACCTCTATCTGATCAGCGACAACATCAGTGAGAGGATGAGCTCTGAAGGTTGACTTACCTGTAGCCAAGAGCCTGTACAGTCAGTCCAGTTGTGACTTCACTATTGTGAAGTGCAAGGCCAAAATCAATCAGCTTCACCCTGAAAGGCTGGTTCTCCTGGTTGATTAGCATGACGTTATCAAGTTTTAAGTCAGCATGGATAACGCTGATGCCTTTCAGGGCAACAAAAGCTGTGAGCAGCTGCAGAAATAAAGAGTAAAAAAATTAAAGAGGATAACAGCAAACAAGTGTGCAGGATGTACAGATTAGAGCAAATGTGCTGTATGTTTAATCCTCTATTTGTAGATGTTTCAATTCTGTATTACTTCACTAATTAAATGATCTACTGGCTGCAAGGTCTTTACCTGCTGTGCGATTGGTGGGATCTCGTTGAGCGACAAAGGTTTGTACTGTCGGTCTCCCAAAAGCTGAATCAGGTCTCTGTCCAGTATTTCGAAAGCCAAACAGGTTTGACCTTTGTGTTCAAACGACTCATATAAATTCACTACATTTGACGCGACAGGGTGAAGTGTGATCATCTGCAGCATCTGGAGCTGTGAAAAATAAAAGTTAAATCAGTACCAGCTGGACAAAAAATACCAAAATTCAAAGGCATTATTGTTGTAGCAATCAATACAAATTATGTCATTATTTTTAGAAATTAATTAAAAAGTCGTTGAACATAGCCATTGAACAAATGTTAATTTAAAGAAAAAATATGCAACATGCTCTGGAGTTTGGAGATCTGTCTGACTCTGTATTTCAGCTGGGGTGAATGTTTTGCAGTACCGAGCCAAAGTATGGTAGTTGACATGAAAGTCCTTTATTGTCCTCCAGATTGATTTATTAGCTTGGGTCACCTGTCTGACTGCCCTCAGCATCACATCAGGTACTGCACTGCCAGGTTCTGTTTTTCTTTTGAAATTCCTAACCATGTCTTCTCACTTTCTCCTCTCCTTTAAACCACTTTTCTCTGTAAAAATAAAGTCAAATTTCTATATGACAACTGCTGATAAGCAGACGCTCTATGTCAGTTTTAATCCCTTTTAAACATGTGACAACTAACCCCAAAATGACTGAGACATGTTGCCTCAAACTACCATGTTTGTTAATTCTAGCTCTATCTTAAAATTAGCTTAAAACAGAACAATGACTGAGGTATGACAGGATGCCTTAATCTCTCCTCTAACAAGTCCACATGTATCACTGTTGGGATTTTTATCTGGAAGAAGCTTATTTTAAAATATATGAAGATTGTTTTGTTTTTTTACTTTGGGTTGTGCAAAATGGTTAATTGGCGCTCATCTCGGCTCACAATGTAGAGATGTACAGAACACGATCCCTAACCATGTAAAAGAAGAAAACTAGTATTCCACTTTTTAGTTGCAAAGATAATTGCAATGTGATTACTTACCCATGTGACAACAAGCCCCGGCCCCCCCAATACGTGGGAAATTGGTGGAGCAATAACATATTTTTTAGTCTTGCTTTTAACCTTACAGTATTGGTTTTGGAACTAAATCAATAACCTCTTTTTTTCATGGGTAAAATTTCACATTGATTCCCAGTCATGGCAATAATATAGAGTGGAAGCTGCAATTTTTCCTTATAGCTTCCCCAAGAACAAGTAGCAATATAATCAACAGAATATATACAATTTTCTTCAAGATATGTTCTTGCTGCTGTTTTTCTACAGAGAACTCTATTGACCCTCTTAAGCTAAATCCGATTGCTTAAGACTCTTAAAAAACTGTTCCTGCAGGCAGAAAAAACCCAAGCTGAACATGGAGGGGTCCAAGAGGAAGAATAAAAATGGAGTGAAAGTTGGCCAATGAGCTGCTGGAGAAGAAATCGGACCGAAAGGTGCAGGAAAAAGTGAGATTGCTCTAGAAGGTAAGTGGTTCAGTCTCCTAGGAGAGGACTTGAACTCGAACTGTGCAGGAGGCTGAGATGGCTGAGTGGGCAGGACTGAGCCGAGCAGAGAAAAGAAACAGACAGAACATGCAGAGCTGTAGTATTAGTTCACTGCTGTGGTTATAGTTTATTTTCTGTCTCAGTGTATGAGTGTTTCTGTGAATACATCGGTTCCTTTCGAAGGTTATGGCTGAAGATGACCTTCATGATCAGCATCTGTCTGCGTGGGCCCCTGACATGTGGCAAACGACACTTCAGATCATAAAAATCAGATGAGGGAACACACAAGCAACTTAGGTAGAAAATCAGACAATCAATGAGGCAGAGAATCGGCTGACCTTTCCTTTTCCGTAGCCTCCCATCATTTGTCTGGCTTCAAATAGAAGCTGCGGCATGGAAGATTAAACAGTGATATGTGGCTGCCGATCATTATAGGCTCTAACAGGGGCTTACGTGCTGCTGAAGATGTGCTGCTTGGACTGAGCTTGTGTGTGTATAAACTGTGGCTCCTCTCATGGGAATGTCCTCTCTTATCAGATCTTAACTCATGAAAATTGAAGGCTAACCTGCACAGCTCTGTGTTTTCTGTTTTTTTCCCGACAAGAGGGAGTTTGTTGTTGCGTGCTTACCCAGAAACTGATTCATATCTCATGCCAGGATACCCAATTTTTGGCCTGTGGAAAGTCATTGAAAGGTTTTCCTTTTATTTTTCTCCAATTTAAACACAGCTTTTGCAGATAGACCTGCACAGTTGCACAGACGCCTCCTTACCGTACATAACAAATGGATACACGTACACAAGCACTGCACATTTAATTTGATCCCAACCCAAACACAGAAGTGGCAATATTTGGCCAGGATCTGTTGTTTTGCTTTGCTTTTAAATGCTTCCAATCATATGAAGAGATTGCATTTAGATTTATCTTTGCAATTTTCAAATGCAGTTCCTAAAACTGTGACCACAACTAGGAATACCAATATTTCCACAGTCACAGCACAGCAGAGCCATACAACATTACAGCTGATGCACACAGGAGACATTAGTTTTGGAGAGCGAGTGCATGATGAAAGGGACAACCTGCTGGCAGGAGGAAGTTGGCCCACCTTGGATAATAGTAGCAGATTGAATCGCCATACTTGGTCAGCCTCTCAGCCATCTGTTGGTACCAGGGGAGTCTGGTGTGTAGACCCCCATGTGGACCAGCCCCAACTCGGGCCTGGCCTGGACTTGGTTCAGGTGGCCGCTACATATGCTGTCATCTCTCAACCAGTGCCCAATTATGCCTCATCTGATGTGTTCGCTGCCTAAAACAAAGCACAGTCTGATTTAGAGCAGAGCAGTTTGAACCAAAGCTGCAACACACAAGGAAACAGACTGAGGGATGATGTTCAGAGTTTGCTGATATCAGCAGAGCGTTCTTGGAGGGACTCCGAGGTGACACATATGAGGTAATATACATGAGGCCTGTAAAGGGTCACATGTGACTCAGAAGCTGGCGTCATGCTTGGCTTGTGTCTTTTAAATTGTAGATGACAAAGCACCAAATATCTCTTGACAGCAGCTACAAACATCTTGGAGGAAGAGAAGTTGCAAATGTAATTTGAGGCACTGATTTTTCTTAGCTTGTTTGTTCAGATAATTTTCCAGAACCTGAACTTGAGGACGATAACTATTCAGTACTTTCTTTTTCACGGTTCCAAGACAATAAAATATTGAAATTTTGCTTAAACTCCAGCTTTCTTGTTTCATAACTTCATATTTATTTGAACATTTGACCAAGTTAGGTGTGATAATTTTAGATGTTGTCAGGCAAAAAGGTGGAGTATTGTTATCTTGAGGACACAGGAAGGGTCTGTGGCTCGGAACAACACAAACCTGGGCAAAGGTCTGAAGCAGGGGCGATTGCTCTAAGACTGCAAGGGAAGCTCAGCTTCCCTTAAAATGTCACCCCCCCAAAAAAAAGAAAAAGTGGTGAAATACGTACGGCTGTGTGTACATTTCATTAACTAAATACGCGCTGGAAAGCCTTCATCTTTTGTTCAGACACTGTGATAAGAAGCTGATAATCACAGGTAACCGGCATAACTTCGTTCTCATTCATCCTCGCAGCGCCTCAGCGCTTCACACAGCCGGACGCTGGGCTTCTGCTGACTTCAATGTGGAAGCTCAAAGTGGGTTGTTCCAGCAGCGAAACTAGACGCTCATTGGATAAATGCTGGGCTTTGTCCCGCCCATCGGAAGCTAAGCTTCACTGGAGTTCTATGGCGAGAGGGCGGTCCCGACTTTCTCCCGGACTCCGAGCTTCTGCATCCATGATTGGATGAGCTGTCTGAGGCGAAATCCTTTTTTGATTGACAGCTAAACAAGCGAATCAGCGATCTTGAAGAATAAAACATCTACCAGAGCATTTTCCAAGTTATTCATTCTGTTGTTCTTAACTGCTCCGGAGACCTTACCGATCCTCAGCGACTTTTGTCTTTGTTAAAAACAACTGCCGTTGTGTTTGGCGACTCTGTTCTGTTACATACTAATAAACAAATACAATTATGATGTAGGCCAGAAAAATGAGCTTCCCCTCCTTGAAAGACCAGCAGCCGCCACTGGTCTGAAGTCCATGGCAGAGTGCTTGCTCAAGTAAGACGGTAAGATGGGTAGAAAAGTTCTTCCTTTGCTTTATAAAACTTGAGACATGAGAACCCAGAAAACTCAATTTCCCCCCAGGAACGGACAAAGAAGTTCTTCTTCTACTTCTTATACACACAAACAGGGATGCACAGCAGTGCTCCCACTCACATTGTTTAACTAGCAAATGTAAAATGTAGTCTAAGTGTGTGGTTGTTTTAATTCTTATGATCATATGATGTCTGTCTTCAGTGTTCAAAGTATTGATTTGACCTTTTTTTTTTTTTTTTTTTTCTGAGGACACAATGTCACCGTAACTTTAGTAATGTAATTAAGAATGATGCATCAGATTGTATAGCGCTTTTTCAGAGACCCTCAAATCACTTTACATTAAATCCATCATTCATTCACCACACAGTCACACCCTGGGGAAGACTGACAGAAACGTGGCTGCCAGTTTGCGCCTACGGCCTCTCCACCACACAACACTCGCATTCATACACCAGGGGAGGACACACACTGGGAGCAAGGTGGGTCAAGTGACTTGCCCAAGGACACAATGGAAAGACTAGGGATAGGGTGGGGATTGAACCACCAACCCTCCAGTTATTGGATGACCACCCCACCGAACAATAGACGGCTATTAGACGTCTAGTTTTTTTTTAGACCTAATTTCAACCGTCTACATTCTATATATGTTTAGACAGAATTTAGACATTAACCCATTATTTGATAAATATTTAATTCAAAAAGCAACTGTGAGTTGCATAACTGATCTCCAAGTGCTTAACCAAAATAACCATAACCAATAGAAAGGGCAGCTGTTGCCCACTAAACAGGATGTAAGTTCAAAGGTTTTTCAGAAATTTTTGATTGATTTATGACTCATGAATATTTCAGAAAGAAAATGAAACCAGCCTATAATTTTTAGTAGATGAGACATGCCTGATTCAGCTCATGCAGGTTCAAAGATTCCTGTTTGTGTGTCTTTTTCTTTTTCACAATTTGTTA